TGGCAGAGGCTGACGGGAAGGCTGGCCGGGCCAGCATCGCGCGAGCGTAGCCTCATGCTGACTGGTTCAGGTTGGTACTGAACTACCGTTAAAACTTACGACTTGATTTTGATTGTAGCATCACGGAATCTCAACGAGTAGGAGTGATGTAAAGGTATAGTTGCACTCATGATTTTAATTTAAATCTTCGGCTAATCTAGCGCTTGGACGTCTGGCGCACTACGCGCGTTCGGACACCCACTCAAAGTGCTCAACCCTCGCATTTGCTTCCGCCCCCGACCCACACGCCCCCCCCCCCTCCCGCCCAGTCCGCAAGCCCCGTAGCCCGCCGCGTCCACCCCACGCGCGCGACGAGCATGCCCCAGCTCCCCCTGGCCGCAACACCCGCGTCCGCCGGCCCCAACACCTCCGTCCGCTAGGCCCCGAGCCACACGCCCCCGTCTGTCCGGCTCGCCCCCCCCCCTCGGCCGAACAACATAAAAAGCCGAATAGAACACTTGCAACAACACATAACAACTGCTGCAACATTATGTTGAAGCAGCTGAAACATTTGGAACATATTATTGCAACATTTGTGTGAAGCATATGAAACAACGGTCGAATAAAACACTTGCAACAACGTGGAACAACTGTTGCAACATAAGATTGAAGCAACTAAAACATTTGGAACATGTGTATTGCAACATTTGTGCGAAGCTTATAAAACATCCAGATCAGAAACGATTGCAACATCTAGAAAGAGGTGAAACATTTTGAACAAATGCTTGCAACATGCCTTTGAAACACTTGCAACATATGCAACATCCCCCGATCTACTTTTGCAATATCCATATGGTTCAACTGCAACATACCTCTGAAGCGTCTAAAACAATTGAAAGATATAATTGCAACATGAGGGGGGAGAACAGAGCCTAGCGTGGGGGCGCCATGGCCGTCGTATCTGAGGGCGTCGGGAGCTCCTTGTGGGGGAGGACGCCGGTGTGTGGGGAGGGGTGCCGTCGGGATGGGGGAGGAGGGCGCGCGGGGTGCGGGAAGGAGCCGCCGGGGTAGGGAGGAGGACGCCGGGGTCGGAGAAGGAGCCGTCGATGTGGGGGGAGGAGGACGCCGGAGTGGGGGAGGAAGACGCTACCGCCGGCCAGGGAGGGAGCGGGGTGTGTGGAGGATGGGCAGAAGGCGGGGAGGAGCGCGGTCGCCAGCCCACGGCGCTGCGGAGCGTAGTCGGGGGCGCACGGCGCTGCTGGATCCATGGGGGAGGAGAGGAGAGGAGGACGCCATGGCAGTCGCAGCGGTGATTTTTTTGGAAGAATAGAGAACAACGACTGCGAACTTGTGGACGAGAGGCTACAAGCCATATGCGGACGGGGGCTGTGCGCAGGTGCAGGCAGGGTCTGTTGGGTGACTCGGACGGCTTGGTCCTTCTGGACGGATGGACGATCGAACAGTATCATTATCGTTAAATCTTTGTAAGGGGTCGGAACTCAAATGTGACACACGAGAGTTGGCTAGTGGCCCGATATGTAAGGCTCGGATCCACAGATAAAACTATCAGGCTATTAGCTCTACAGCTATTTTTTTTGCCAAGTCGATTATTTGTGTTAAAGCTAATTTTTAGCTGATAAATAAAACACTAGCTGTCTTATTAGTTTTTTTACACATACTCACTCGTATGGACGTCTAACTTAGCTTACCTAACACCACCCGGTCCATGCGCGGTAACGTTAAGTTGGGTCCACACGGACCAGCTGACCGGCACGATAGTGGGATAGTGGCAGGCTGCCAAGCTCACTCCACCATAGCCCCCTCGCGGCCCTGTCGTTTGCCGGAGATCCGCTCGGGAACCCCGCGCGCACCAGCCATTTTCCCCTCCACCTCCGCACCGCCCCCTCGCCCATCCGCGGTTAGTTCACTTCCCACGCTCCCCCACCCCACTCCCCTGTTCCAGTGTTCCCTCACCACCCCAGCCCCACCACCAGTCCACCACCGCGTCGCGCCCCAGCCAGCCACAACCAGGCGAAATCAGGGGCGGTCACGCTCACTGACTCGCACACGCCGAGCGACTCCGCGAAGGCGCAGTCGGCGGGGCGGCGATCTCCCATCCAACCCACATTGCGCGCGCGTCCACGGCCGAGGACTGATGGTGGGCGGCGGGGGGCGCCGCGCGGCGACAGCGGCGGCGCTGGGGCGCTGGTGCCTGGTGATCCTGGCCGTGGCCTCCGCGCTCGGGGTCTCCGGCCCCGCCTTCTACTGGCGTTACAAGAAGGGCTTCTCCTCCTCCCCCGCGTCCACCGCGGCGGTGGCGGCCTCCTCCCCCTCGTGCCCTCCCTGCAGCTGCGATTGCCCGGCTCCCCTTTCCCTTAAGTCCATCGCCCCAGGTGAGCTGTTCCTGTTCAGTCCCTCTTACCAGATCTTGCTACTGCCCTGGTCTGTGTCGGCGCGCATGCTACCCATAATTCGTTAGATAAAAAAAACCCAGTATTTTGGTCGGGACTAGGGTCATCAGATGAACGCCGTAGCACATGTGACTCTGTGTCACTGTATGAATTATGGTACAACTGACGCATGCATATGGGCAACAAATAAGCTAGTTTTAGTTGCTGTCTAATTGTCTATGATGAAAACCCCCTGTTGCAGCTATGTGCCTATGTCCGCGTTACTGACAGGAATTTGTGTTCATTGCAGGGCTCGCCAACTTCTCAGTAACAGGTTTGGTCCTTCCTTCACACTTCTGTCAATTGAGGCATGGGTTTCCAGTATTCTTATCATATTTGGACGAGTGTAGTGGTTATCTTGTCAGAATGACAGCAATTGTCGTGGATCACTGTGTTGTTTTCTTGCTGAACTGAACAATTCAGTTTATGAAGGTGCTTTATCTGCTGCCTTCAGTAGTTCAGTCACTATGATGATGCACGGGGTGATTTATAGACCTTATGGAATCTTTTACTTGGGTTATTCTTCACTCTACAAAAATGCTCGAGCAAATTAGTTCTTATGAAATGAAAGTACAATTATGTGTCAGATTTGTCTTTCTGAAAATTTCATTCTTTTAATCATTTAGCCCCAAATTGTCTTATGTGAAAAGAAAAGATGAATACTACAGGGGGTGAACACTAGAAGGCTAGCTTATCTAGTATGTTATGAAACAGTGCTGTGATATCTTAAAGAGTTGGATTTTATAATTAGGCGCGAAACTGCAGATATTTGTCTAATGATGCGCTCTACTGAATGACCTACTATAGGCTTCTTAAAAGCATCCTATTATTGAGAAAAAAAGATCTTTTCTTTCATCTTGTTTTGTATTTCATAAGTCTTTGGCATTACGCTATTACCCTAACAATATAGCATAGATGAAAGTTAGTTGTGATCATTAGTATGTGTTGACATTCATAACATCCAATGAAGCCCAGAGACTGTTCTTCCATCCAACCAGATTTGGCACTGTTTAAACACTCCATCAACATGCATTTTGCAACTTAGCATGTATTGCTTGCTGCTGTTCCTGGACATGCGAAGATTATAGCTTTACTTTATAATGCATCCTACTAAGTACTGGCAATGCAAACTTGAAGCTAGCACTGTCATTGTCAAGTCTGCATTTGCACATAATTCTTTCACCAACATACTTCTCATTTGGACGGTATATTTGCTTCATCAAGTTTGCACAAATCTTTCTCACGTTGCTGCACAATTAGGGCCTGTTTGTTAGAGCTCCATCTGATTCTGATTCTCTAAGGAAGCTGATTCTCTAAGAGAAGTGATTCTGTGGCTGAAAGTAATTCTCTTTGATTCTTTAGCATAAACTCTTGAAATCATGATGGAGAATCACTTCACAGAATCAGGAGAAGCTATTTTTTTCAGCTCTCAGCCTCCTAGTTCATTTCAGAGAATCACTTCACGGAATCAGCAGAGAATCACTTCTCTCTGTAAAACTGTTTGGCAAAGCTCCTGCTGGATTCAGCAGAGAATCAGCTCTGGGAGCTCTGCCAAACGGGGCCTTAGTTATTGTGCTTGCCTGCATCTCATAGCCAGTTAGCCACCCAGTTTTCTAGAACTGGAATTGTCAAAATATTTGAATCGCGTTCTTTGCATTGTTTTCTACTATATCTACCCTTTTCTTCCAATGCACAATTTCCTGACCTTGTTATTGTTGTTATCAAGATATTATGTTAACTGGACCAAAACTGTAACATTCGTATTGAAATATGCAGATTGTGGGAAAAACAACCCTGAGCTTGCCAAAGAGATGGAGAAGCAATTCGTCGATCTTCTTAATGAGGAACTCAAGCTGCAGCAGGTTGTAGCTGAGGAGCATAGTCACCACATGAACGCCACTCTTGTCGAAGCAAAAAGACAGGCTACTCAATACCAGCGAGAGGCAGAAAAGTGTAATGCAGCTACAGAGACCTGTGAGGAAGCTCGGGAGCAGTCTGAGGCAGCAATTTCAAAGGAGAAGAAACTCACAGCAATGTGGGAACAGCGAGCTCGGCAACTGGGTTGGCAGGATTCTCGAGCCACAAGCATGTGACAGCTTTAGTTCTGAATCTCTTTCTCTTTTTCAGGTGAAATTATTTCTGGTAGCTGCATGGGTTACGCCTTGCAGCCAAGCCAAACCGACCGGAGTTAGTTGTACGGATCCACTTGTAATATTTGTCTATGTAATACCAGTTTCCACGGCAACATAGTTATTTTTGAGTCCCAATATTATAGTTCCATCTTCCTTACAAATGTAACTAGCTTGCTGCTGCCTAGATATCTGAATTTTCTCATAGTACTGTTGAATGCCATTTTATTAAGTGTTGTGGTTGTGGATTAGAGGCCGAACGGTTGGAGAAACAAAATTCAAATCTGGATACCAGGATGTACAAAGAGTGTTGAATTATAGTATCAATCTGGTGGTATAGTTTACTTGTTGAGTGATGGAAGTACCTTCAGGATATAATTGTTGTTTGTTGTTGACATGTTGGTATATTTATTTATGTGGGTTTATGTCCAGAAAGAAGGGTCTAATCAGTCCCAAAATTAGCTCTTAACTGTGTAACATTCTGAGCATTCTGTTTTCTCATAGATGGTGCCATGGTGGGAGCTGCAACCTGAAGGCCGAAAGAGTCACATAACTTGTGCTCGATAATGATCCTTGCAGTATAAGCATCATCACATAAGCTTCAGAATGTGCGATTTTATTCTGCTTTCGCTTTAATTGCTTGCCCAAATTATTCTTATTTAGTTACTTTTTCCCTTCTGAGCTGATTTGTGCATGTGAACTACCTCTACAAAAACTATTCAGAGAAATTGCTTGCCCAAAATTTTCTTATTTAGTTGAAAAAAAAAACTAGCCAGAGAGGAAAAAACAAAATTTTTAAAAAGGATTTGTCCATGTGAACTACCTCTAGGAAAACTACTCGGAGAAATTGCTTGCCCAATTTTTTCTTATTTAGTTGAAAACAAAAAAAAACTAGCCAGAGAGGAAAAAACAAAATTTTTAAAAAACTGGCCCATGCAGGTCTCGAACCTGCGACCTTCGCGTTATTAGCACGACGCTCTAACCAACTGAGCTAATAGGCCAGTGGAGTACCTGTTCATTCTTCATGTATATGAACTATATACTAAATATACATAAGGCACATATTTAACTGATTGATTGAAGCTACATTACCATACACGCTTGTGCGTTCTCGTCATCAAAGTAATGGAAGTTCCATCTTTCCGGTCTATAGCTCTCAAACTCATCGGGGACATCTGCATCAGCAGGGTACAACAATGGATCACCGTAAGGAACGTAAGTTTCTTCTCCGTTGCCTTCCTCGTCCTCATTTTCCTCGGGAGCCAAGATCTCCACCTTCTTCCCGGTCTTCTTCTTGATCTTCTTCACCACCTTCTCAGGCTCAAAATCTCCTGTCACCGTGACCTTGTTCTCTTCCCTGTCCACCTCTATCGTCTCGACGCCTAGAGAGAGAGATGATGATGAAACGTCGTTACGAGCACGAACCGACACATAAGCAAGCTGAACTGCTGAAGCCTGAAGTAATAATTTTCTTATAACTTCCTCACCTTCGACTTTGCTGATGGTACGGCGCACTTTCTTCTCGCAAGCGTCGCAATGCATGTATACTTTCATTTCCATTGTGATGCTCTGCGCAAAAGAAAAAAGAAGAAGCACACAGTGTGACTGGACAGGGCAGACTATGAGACTGTACAATGGAATACGAAGTTACGATTCTCCAGGCAACTTCATGGAACCGCTTACCTTCGTAGAGCTATCGTTTTCTTCATCCATGGTCCGCACTGGCACTTAAACCTGATGATAATAATAAGTGATGCGAAAGATGGCCTGAAAATGTAACATGGAACATTCAGACCGACGGAGAATACCTGAATGGACATTCAGACTGACAGAGGTCACAGAACACAGCACCTGTTCTTGATTAAGGTTTCAGACCAGGATCGGAGTCACGAGGAGCACCAGCCAGTGCTATTTCTAAATCAAGAAACGAAGGAATTGGCCCCAAAGAAGGCTGCGATAGATGCAGATGAACTTGAGAGAGGCAGTCAATTAGGTCCTGCTTCATTCTAATCACGCAATTAGCGAGGTGCTGTATATATAGGTAGATGTGGTTATTCCAAGCCGCCTGGGAAGGCAATGTCCATGTAATTCACCGAAAACGAAAATGACCTTGCCATGCAACGTTTCCTCACCCGGTTGGTCCGTTCATGCCGATTGCGCGTTCCCTCCTCTTGGCCCCTTCCAAGGCGGCATCGGACCCAGGTCAATTCGGCTATGCAATGCAACCTCAAGGAACAGCACCTGAATAAATTACCTTGACGAGAACAGAACATTCAGTGAAGGTAATCGAGAGATTACCGAGAAATGGCTTAAGGAGATCCAATGATGCGCATGGAGCATTGGAGCTATAGCTGTCGGCAAATCGCATTGACCGCCTGGTCGAGCCGGCCGGCTCTGTCGGGAAGGTTCATAATAATAGTGGAAAGAGCGGAGACGAGAAAGACGCGGGAAAACACGTGCTGCATGCCCGCAGTCTCCCCCGACCTGCCCTGAGCGCGTTTGCCATTCCTGAAGGAGATACTCCGTCCGTAGTTGGAACCGTAGAATCCAATTCCCTTGCATGATTGCTTCCCTCCTATTGTTGTTTCTGAATCATGTGTTTTTCAAACTGTTTCATGTGAACTTGCTCGTGTGTTTCAAATGGTCCTTGGCTCCTTGCTGAACTTGGAGATCCACATCATTTCGACATGGCAACAACCTAGCTATTCATCGGCAACCTTCCATGAAATGAGTAAGATGACTTCACCACAGTCTACACAAGGCATACACCTGCATTGTCACTTGGCTATTCTTGGAATCTTGTGTATGCTATCGGGACAGCTTGTGAAAAAAAAATCTCTAGCGATTCTTTTCGATGGAATTTTTAGTGATTTGTGGGCTTGATTTGCAGGCACCCACCGTTTAGTCTCGGCCCAACTTATGGCCCAGCAACAAGTGAGATCGATCGAAGGATCAAATCGGATTCGAGGCCCCTCATCACTACGCAAAGCGTCTCTTCCCGACCTGCCGGGCATCTCCTGTTCCTCCATCAGCGAGCCACTCAGATCTGCCGTTCCCGACCCGGAGCGAGCGAGGTGAGCCGAGGCGAGGCTGGGGGGACGAGCCACCGGCGGCCATGGAGCCCGGGCTGAGCATCGAGTCCGGTTCCGCCATCCGCGTCGCGGTGCTCCCCGTGGGCGGCCCGATCCCGCCGCCGCGCCTGCGCGAGTACGCGGCGCTGGTGGCGCGCCACGCGCGCGTCGACCTCGCCTCGCTCCGCACCTACTACGCGGAGCACCAGAAGAGCCCTTTCCAGCACCAGCCCTGGGAGACCGGGTGCCTCCGCCTCAAGTTCGTGCTCGGCGGCTGCGTGCCTTCGCCCTGGGAGGACTTCCAGTCCTCGCGCAAGGTGCTCGCCGTGATCGGCATCTGCCACCTGCCGTCCTCGCCCGACCTCGACCGCGTCGCGGCGGACTTCATAGATGCTGCACGGTCGTACCCGTCTGCGCTCGCCAACCGGTGCTTCGCCTTCTGCCCCACGGACGCACAGGTACGTTCCTGCTGCTGTCGCGGGCGTGTCTTCCAAAGTGTTAGGATTCGCCGGCTCAGCATCCGTAGATCTCACCTCGGCGATCTACGCTGCGTGTGTGAGGATCGTTGGGTTTCGTGAATGCTCATTTTCTCTAGTACGTGTTGTAAATGGCGATGGCACGCTCATTGACGATAGCTTAGATGCTTCCAAGTGTCCTGAATACTTGGATGAGATCTGTGTGATCCCATTTGACCCTTGCTCCGACAATCTAAACTGCACTACTAAAGCAATTCTAGCTTGAGGGCTCGATTTTACTATAGCTGACTGGGTGTTAGGCTATGTTTTGTGCTCACTTCACTTGCGTTGCATTCTGCTAGTATTTTAAGGCCTGTCTTGTGTTCACTACTGTGCTTAGTCATTCCCTCTTTGTGTAATCTGATTGAACCTATCTCAAACAGTAACAAATATTGTACCCATGTTGTAACACATTACACATCTAGTTTTGTCATGTTTGATCACCTGATGCTCTAATGCAATCTCTTTTTGTCTGGGTATTTTTTTTATAGTTGTCGGGGAAGAAGAGGGACGATATTATTATGTTCCCTCCTTCTGATCAGCAATCACTGGAACTTCATATGCTTACAATGATCCAAGATCTTGCTGCTTCTTTGTTGATGGAGTTTGAGAAGTGGGTCTTGCGTGCAGAATCCACAGGAACTATTTTGAAGACCCCATTGGATTCACAGTCCAGTCTTGGCTCAGAGGAGGTTCATACTTTAGGTGTTCCAAGTATTTTTTTACCAGTGTATGTTGATGATGCAAATGGCCCAAGATTGTATTACTTATACACGACAACATACTTTCTGTATTTTTATTAGGTAATTAAGGCTAAAAAAAGAAGGCTGGGTCGTGCGCAAAAGATAATAGGAGATTATTGCCTCTTGGCTGGATCGCCTGTGGACGCTAATGCACATTACACCACCGCTATAGAGCTTACAAGACTGACTGGTGATGTTTTCTGGCATGCTGGAGCCCTTGAGGGTAGTGTCTGCGCATTAGTGGTAAGCTTTCGCATAAAGTCGTTCTGGTTGTTCAAGTATTCGTCTTGATAAGCCGCGTATCAATATTTCATTTGAAAATGTCTCCATTTATTTCTAAATCTCACTTGGCATGAGATTCATGGTAATCTTCTCATGACCATTTTAGGTGATTATATTCTGCTTATGAACAGGTAGATAGGATGGGCCAAAGTGATCCTGTTTTGGAGGATGAAGTCAAATATCGCTATTACACCATTATCCAGCTATACAGAAGAGCCACTTTACAAGATAATGCTCAAAGGTTTTGTTTCAGGGGTGCTGTTTTCTTTCTTAATCCTTTATGTGAATCGCATGTCATTCTGTCCCATATGGCAGTTTCCTCCTTTAGTTCTGTTATTACATTCTGCATAAGCTCATTTTGTTTCTTCTGAGTTACACAAAGGATTGAAGTATTTCATCTGTTTTCTTGAGCTGCTGGTATATTGAAGAGATCATACTGTTTTCTATAATAGTTCTTTCTTTCATGTTTGCATTCCTGTATTAAATTTTCTTGGCCATTATTCTCTTTGGTTTTGAAGAGAGTTCATGAGGGCTTGAAGGATGTTACATCCTATCTTGCCCTTGAGTATACTTTGTGTCTTCTTTGCCCTGTCCATTCCATTCCCTTCCCTTCCCCCCTCCCTCCCTGTTGTGATAGTTCTTTATTAACAATGGGAACTGGAATCCTGTGTGGCATGTTATAACAAGCTATTTACTTCAAAAGATTACTTAACGCACTAACATTGTAGCTGTTCTCTTTGGTGTAGAGTTTCACCTGTGAGCTTTGAGCTTGAAGCTGCCTTGAAGTTGGCAAGATACTTGTGCAGGTGAGTCTCCCACGTGCTTTATTAACAGTTCCTCATACAATGATATGAGGTTGAGGTTGTGTCAAAGTATATTCTATTTATGTTGAAGTCATCCGGTGTCTTCATTTATCAGGCAAGAACTTGCCAAGGAGGTCTCAGATTTGTTAATGGGAGCTGCAGATGGTGCCAAGGCTCTGATTGATGCCAGTGACCGGCTCATACTATATATTGAAATCGCAAGACTTTTTGGTACACTTGGTTATAAGCGCAAGGCGGCCTTTTTTTCAAGACAAGTTGCACAGTTGTACCTTCAGCAAGACAATGCATATGCTGCTATGAGTGCTATGCAGGTTCTAACTATGACTACAAATGCATACCATGTCCAAAGCCGAAAGACTATGAAAATGAATCATGATTTGTCCAAGGTGAGATCACAAAGTAGCTGTGCAGTTGCAGCATATTGAGAATCAATCATCAATTCATCGTGCATAAATATACTAAATATTGTTGGATTCATGTTTCATTTGCAATGCTTATGTTCTTAAGGAACCTCGTGCTGGCAATACTGATTCTGGAAAGGTGCACGCTCAGTCTATAGTGTCATTGTTTGAGTCACAATGGAGTACCCTCCAAATGGTGGTTCTAAGAGAAATATTGATGTCATCAATCCGGGCCGCTGATCCACTCTCATCATGGAGCGCTGCAGCTCGTCTTCTTCGATCCTTTTACCCACTCATCACACCAGCTGGTCAGAGTGGCCTAGCAAGCTCACTTGCAAACTCTGCTGACAAGCTTCCAACAGGCACACGCTGTGCCGATCCATGTCTTCCTTTTATCAGGTATGCTTAAGCTCATCATTATTATCTTATTGTTATATTTGAGAGAAAAAGAGAATAAATACTGTTGGAACTACTTTTAAGACTGAAAGGTGCTCATGGCAAAATTAATCTTTACTATCTTCTGGGATTTTTTATCTTATGTTATTTTTCCAGGTTGCATTCTTTCCCGCTTCACCCTTCTCAAAGGGATATAGTAAAGCGGAATCCACATAAAAAGGAGTGGTGGACCGGTGCAGGTCCTTCAGGACCTTTCATTTATACTCCTTTCAGCAAAGCAGGAGCTTCTGGGACTTCCAAGCAGGAGGTTAGTTGGATTGTGGGGGAGCCGGTTCAAGTCATGGTTGAGTTAGCAAACCCTTGCAGCTTCGACCTAGTTGTGGAGAGCATCTATCTCTCTGTCCATTCTGGGAATTTTGATGCCTTTCCAGTTAGCGTTAGTCTTCCACCTAACACTTCAAAATTAGTTTTGTTATCTGGTATTCCAACAAAAGTCGGACAAATATCAATTCCTGGGTGCATTGTTCATTGCTTTGGTGTTATTACAGAACACCTATTCAAAGAGGTCGATTGTTTGCTCCTTGGAGCTGCACAAGGGCTTGTCCTTTCTGATCCTTTCAGATGCTGTGGCTCTAGCAAGTTTAAGAGTGTCAACTTTCCTAGCATTTCTGTTGTTCCTCCTCTGCCATTGTTAGTTGCCAATGTTGTGGGTGGAGATGGTTCTATTCTTCTTTATGAAGGAGAAATTCGTGATGTTCTGATAACACTGACAAATGCCGGAACCATGCCAGTTGAAGAAGCAAATGTTGCATTGTTAGGGAAGAATCAGGATTCTGTTATTTCGATTGCCCATAGCACATGGAAATCTGCGCTCCCTATTAAACCAGGTGGAGAAGTGACATTTGCCGTAACTCTAAGAGCCTGGCATCTCAGCTCAGCAGATTTGGAAACAGATGGCAGTAGATCTCCTGCAAATTCAAGGAGAATAGCAAGAGAAGGAATCAATCCATTCTTGGATATTCACTATGCTGGTAGGTCATCAGTTTCACATTCTTTTATTCTCTGTCATCCTTTAATATTCAGCTCCTCTCATAATCTATATTTACATTCAATGGTGAAATCTGTAGTTCTGTTAATGTACCTATTACAATTAGACATTTGCAAATATTTGTTAATCCCTCCTGTTGTGAATTAGTGCCTCTATATTTTCATATTTTTATTAGTATATCTGAAGCATAGATAGCAATAGTTGTTTTCAGTTTACAGTTGCCTTCTTTCTGTTTGGATGCTATTCACATGGTGCTAGTAAGTGGCAATTCTTAATCATCTTTGCTTCATGGGTGTTCCTATTGTTCTCTTGGTCTTGCACCTGGCCCCTTTTGTTCTTTCATCCTGGACAAATTAGCTTTCTATTTTTCTAGCCCATGGATATTTTTTGCTGTAGGTGTTCTTTGTTGTGATTAATGCTTTGAAACAGCCAACCTGATTACACCTTAGTCTGTCTTTGGTTACTGCTAGGCAATATTCTTCTGAGCTTTGCACATTATAAATTTGTATATGATGTACATGCACGGATGCACCCCTTGTCACATAGGCAAAAGTATTGTAGTTATGTAGCTTGACTAAATTTGTATATTGCACTTCAGGTCCTGCTGCGAGTCTTGAGAATGGAGATGTTTCACTTCCACCTGGAAGACGCCTGGTTGTTCCCTTGAATATCTGTGTTGTGCAGGGCATGCGTCTTGTAAGAGCACGCCTGTTGTCCATGGAAATACCTGCTCGATTTACTGAAACACACTTAAAACCTGTCAGTGGCAAAGACATTAACTTATTGAAGATCGATCCCTATAAAGGAAGCTGGGGGCTTCGCCTTCTGGAACTTGAGCTTTTTAATCCTACAGATGTCGTTTTTGATGTTGATGTTGCTGTACATTTGGATGACGCGGATGTGGATCAAGAAGTAATTTCAGAGGGCGATGCTGCTTGTCACAAAACTAGAATTGATCGCGACTACTCTGCCAGAGTTCTCATACCTCTTGAGAACTTCAAATTGCCTGTTCTTGATGCTTCCTTCTTTGTAAAGGAAAGTAGTAGTGATGAACCTCTTGGATCCAGGGCTGCCGCCGTAGCAGAAAGGAATGCCAAGGCAGAGCTAAATGCGTCCATCAACAACTTGATTTCAAAAATAAAAGTGAAATGGCACTCTGGGAGAAATAGCTCAGGTGAGCTGAATATTAAAGATGCTATCCAGGCGGCATTACAAGCATCTATAATGGACATACTGTTGCCAGATCCTCTGACGTTTAGCTTTAAACTTGCTAAGAATGGAACTGTGATCAATGATGATTCTTCAAAGGATTCTGGCAGTGTTCTGAGGTGCAAAGATCCTATATCTGCTCATGAAATGACCCATATGGAAGTTCAAATTCGCAACAACACAAAGGAAATTATTCAGATGAACCTTAGCATTTCATGCAAAGATGTTGCAGGAGAGAATTGCTTCGATGAAAATAGTGCAACTGTCCTCTGGGCTGGTGAGTTATCTTTATTTTTCCGTTCCATCACTATCTGGATTTATTTTTGGTTTTCTGAGGGCAGCAAATGACCAATGCTACAGAAGGCAACTTCTTGTGCATGATCAAAGATTTTTACTTTAGGGGCAATTGAGTAGGCATTGGATTTATACTTTAACAGGGAAAGTTATTCATTGAAGCAGTATTCAGCGTCCATGTCTGGTACACTACTCGCTTTCTTTTTTCTGTGTAGGTGTTCTTAGCGATATACACCTGGAAGTTCCACCGTTGCAAGAGGTGATACATCCTTTTTGCATGTACTTCCTCGTCCCGGGTGACTACTCGCTCCAAGCTGCTTCTGTTATAATCGACGCCACAGCCGTTCTTCGTGCTCGCGCAAAGGCAGAGTCACCAGATGAGCCTATACTGTGTCGAGGATCCCCGTTCCATATCCGGGTAGTCGGTACAGCATAGGCAGTTTCTTCTGAGTTAGTTTAGAGGCCTCATTTTGTACCGTGACAATTGTAGGTGTGACAAATCTTGTACAAGAGTGTTCCCCCCTCATGCGATTTGTTTTCTTTTTAGCCTTTTGTAGGCTTCCTTGTAACAGTCATGTCATGTACAGTGTACAAGCATAGTGAGTATTGTTTCAAGCACCGAAATTGTATGTCGATGATTCCAACATCTTAATCTCTGGATGCCGGCTCATATGATTTTACTTAAAATTTACCGTCGCACGTAACACAAGCGTCAGGCACGCATTCGAGCCCCAGGCGCTCGAAATCTTGTTTGGTTACTATGGCCAGGCAGCTCGCTCAGCCGCAGGCGTAGGAAAATGAACACATGAGATCCTTGCCTGGGCAGGCAACTTTTCCAGGTTACAAAGCAAACACGCCTGAGCACCAGAGAGAGTTGGCTAGTGGAGAACCAAACAGCCCCTTGGGTTTCACCGCTTGCGTCCGGCAAGCACTTTCAAGTTGCTGTCATCAGAGTTCATGCACTACTATACAAGGTAGCATGGAGCATGGATTTCATCTGAGGGGATTTTATTGCGGCATGATGCGGCCAGCCCAACACAACTAGCCTACTGGAATTCGGCAAAGCTGACAAAGCCATGATGGATGACATAAGGTATCAAACGTATCACTACTGATCCAGAAAACATTTTGAGGGTCATATGCTGTTACTGAAATTAAAAGGTGCTAAGCAATCAGACACATGGTTATGAAATTTTCACGATTTCAAGCTCTGGATGTAATTCAAGTAGAATTCCGAGTACACATATAGTAGATACGAAAAAAAAGGCTAGGCAGCATCAAAAAGTTAAACAAAGCTTTTTCAGGTCCTGGCCTATGCACTCATCATGATCTTAAGCGGCAGTGAAAGCCTTCTTCACTGCTCCACTCTTTGAACCTGCGGGTATGACTTTGAGCACATTGAACCTTTTAGTCTTTGACAGTGGCCTGAAATTAAAACAGTACAACATAAGTACATTTTACAGAATAGAGCACAGTGCCAAAAGGGCCAAGATAGATATTTCATGTCAAACAGTAGGACAAATTATATTGAGCTTTGCCAATTGCATTTCAGAAACCATGCCATCCAGGTAACAACGTTACAAAAAGCAGGTCCAGGAATGATAAAGCAAGTTTTACCTGCACTGGCCAATGATCACATGATCTCCTTCCTTGACACGGAAGCATGGTGAAATGTGCGCAGGGATGTTGGAGTGCCTCTTCTCATACCTACACAAACACCAACAAATGGTCAGTTAGCAAACAGACAGCATGAAGGCATGGGGCAATCAGCAAATTTGGGCCAATAATGAATATTAGCTTGCCTCTGGTACTTCTTGACGAAGTGAAGATAATTCCTACGAACAATGATAGTCCTATTCATCTTAGCACTGTGGCATGTTCCGGCGATGATGCGACCCCTGATAGACACAGTGCCAGTGAATGGGCATTTCTTATCAATTTAGGTTCCTGCAACAACAAAGAAATAAGGGAAATATAAATCACAACTGAATTAATAGAGCCCATCTAAAATCAAGCACCTAAAACAACCTATAAGGTTACCACAACTTTCTTGAAACAAAACTATAATCACTTCATCACTGTCGAAATGAAAAATAAATGTGACAGCCTCAGCTACACAAACAGAGAGATTCATCATCTAAAATTACTACAAATTGCATTAGCCTCGATATTCAGAGCACACACCCAACAAATGGACCATGGAGCATATGATAAGAGTTCACACTAGCAGTGATGTATAATAATATAATATAGTTTGGCATGAATAACATCAAATATACAAGGAAGACTTAACCAGTATAAGCTTTTAAACATAGCAAGGTGAAAGCTTCCAGGTCACCACTGTGATTGTTCAAGAGAGACAAGCTTCCCTTTTAACATCGTCGGTATATGGGCAACATACTTAACCGTCTAATAAACTAGCTGATTTCTAAGTAGTAATTGTAAGGGCGTCTCCAACGCCACGTGACGGAGTGAGATGCCAAAAAACCTTTGAGCTAGAGCACGAGAAGAGCTAGGCTGTTTTTGCACGCCCCAATGCAAGAAAGACACGCCTACTCCATCTCTCCTGCATAGGTGAAATGAGAATGTATAGAATAAAGAACACATTACATGTAACATGTGGGGACACATAGGATGCGAATATGCAATGGCATAAGAGCTAGCACTTGACTCCTACCATTGGAGATGCCCTAATAGCTATAGACAGGGATCTTACTATTGAATTCCATTCCCAAGCTGCAAAGCTTAAATCTAATCATATTGCATTTTTCTGAAAGCCTTAATATAACTTATGTTTAAGTTTTTGGATCGATCATAATCTAAGAATGGACTAAATGTAGTTCTGTCTAAGAGACATACAAGTTGAAACAGCCAGAATTGTTGAACTAGTGAATCATTAAAACCTAGTCCATAGCTTTATATGAGCTAACAAGCCAATAGAAACACCAGCGGGAGTGAGAGAGGGAGGGAGGCTGACGAATGGACCCCATGTGTCAGTGAGTGTGAGAGAGAAGAGGAAGAGGGCAATCTTGTCCATATGGATATACGGTACCGTTTGTACATCTGTCAGTGGGCTCAAATCGTATCCAGATGTATATAATGGGGTATCTCAAATATCTGCAGAGTTTCAATGGCAGTGGCATAGTTTCTTGAGTAGTAATGGTGTGTTTCAAAAACGGTAAAGTTATAATAGCACAAATCCAATTAACCCTAAACGAATATATAGGTGAGTCGGAGGTGGGCTGGACCTAATGGGCTTTTCTGAATTCAGCCTCAGTGTGAAAAGGAAGTTGGGCCGTGCTGGGCTGGCCTCTCAGTGAGAGGCCGATATCGGTGGCTGCTTTTCAGTCTTTGGGTGGGCTGGGCGCCTGGGCTGTGCTTAGCGATGATGGTACTGACAGGTGACAACCTCTCCAAAAAAGAAAAGAAAAAAAGGTGACAAGGTCACGTCTCAGCGATGTCCACGTGGATGTGGACTCGATTGTGATTCTGTACGAGCGGTAGCAGCAGCCTAGGAGGTGTGGCCCAGCCTAGTAGCGAGATTCAAAGCGACTTCTGACGAGGCCGACAGGATTCAAAGCGAAGTCGGCATCCGCTTTTGCCGCCCCCAGGTGCTGTGCTGGTGCGGTGCCCTTCCACCCACTTTTTCCCCAACCGAACCGTGCACCGCATCATCCATGCTCCCCGCACTCCGGGAGTGGAAGGCAAAAGGCGGCGGCGATCCTTCATATCCCTCCCTGGCGCTGGAAAAGCAGGACAGCATCCGCGCGCGTGCGGGGTTGCCGTCGAAGGTGGCTTCGGCTTCGGCCGCCCGGGGGCCTGGGCAGCGTCATGCATCCCCCGGCATCATCATGCGGCGGCAACCGGCGAAAGCTCAGGAACAACGGCAGGCCGCCGGGTCCAGGGACGGAGCTACGTGGGGGCCAAACTGGGTCCTGGCCCCTCTTTGCTCCGGCTGAGGTTTGCATGTCCTGCATGCAAGCAATTAATTCCTACCTCTCTCGTATCATACTTACGGTTGCTGATAAGTAGATCACAGCTTACAAGTACGTAAATCCGTACATTGTTCATTCTTCTTTAATAGAATTCTAATTGTTCATTGCAGTCTATATAGATAGAATTTGAAAAAACAAAGATTTTTTATAGAATTTCAATTGTCTATACTACTATTGGTAATTACTGTAGTAGGTAGCTTTGAATTGGCCCCCTATCCATTCATGCAAGCTCCACCACTGGCCGGGTCGTCGTCTTTCCGGTCCCTGCCTGCCTTTTGGTGTGTTACAGATCCATACTCACCGGGCACAACGCAGGCATTAGAGGTGTTAGTTGGAGAAAAAAGTGACAGGCTACCTAGGCTCCAGAGCAACGAAACCAGCAACGGCAAAAACACATCATTGTCGAGTCTCACAAACTCATTTCGCTAATATAAGGTCATGCCCAATGCTACCAGGTACCTAGTATTATCTAGGTGATCAGAGTTACCTATAGAGACAGCAAAAGCTTGGTCCCATAAAAACGTGAAGCATCTGCTGGATCGTATGAAGTGGAGATGTGAGAGATAGAGGAACCTTATCACGGGGAGAAACAGACAAGTGATTTGGGGAGCAAAGAGCTGGTAGGATTGGTGGCCTATGCTAGCCAGATCATACACCTTAAACTTTGTCATCTGTACATGGCTAGCTACTTTTTTTGTGAGGATGATAACTTTTTGCAGGTGTGTTGGGTTTGCTCTAAAATGTAGCTATGGTTTTATTTAGAATGGCTTCTCTTCTCAACCGCTACCGTAGATAAAAAAAATGGCCGAAGGCCCCCAAACGCCGCGCTTCCAGCCCGGCTTCCACCCCTCGCGCTTCTTCTCCATACGCCGTTTTCACCTAAAATCTGAATCAGCCTCAGGCGAGCATCGGGGGAAATCCGACCAATTCCTCATCTAGCGTTCATGCCTCCTTCATCTTCCTCCTCTGCCAGTCTGCCCTGGTTGCTCCTTCCTCTTCTTTGTTGGTTTGCCCGGCCGCTCCACCTTCCTCTCCGGAGGCCGCTTCTCCCTCCGTGACCACGTTCGCGATGAGCGTGACCGGATCCTGCGACCGTTCCTCCATGACGAACACAACCTCCGACAGACACTCCTCCTCTCCGGCATCGGCTCCTCCCTCCATGACCATTCCTTCCTGGGACAAGCATGCCCTTCGGCGACGGCTCCTCCCTCTGCGACGAGCATGACTTGTGGTTGTCGCTCCTCTCTTCGGTCTCCGCGACGAGCACGACCTCTCCGACTATCACTCGTCCTTGTACAACCTCGAGGAGTCTGGTGGTGGCTCCTCCCTCCGTGACGAGCACGACATGCGGCAGCCGCTACCCTCTCCGCGCGAGCATGAACCTCTTCGGCGATTGCTGCTCTCTCTACAACCTCGAGGAGTCTGGCGGCCGCTCCTCCCTACGCGAGGAGCGCACCCGGATCCGGTGACCGTGAGCGCTGGAGCGGCCGCACGAGTTCTCCCCACCTCCAACTTCTCCATAGAAGCCAGCTCCCATGCAAACATGATGCTTTTTGCCGCTTTGATTCTAATATAAGCTAGCTTAGCGAGGAAGCCAGCTTTGAATCAAAGCGTGGTCCAGCAAAGCGATCCTAAATAGAGCTTATGTTTTCTACACACTCTCTCGATTCATACACTAAGATCTCAACCTTTATCCTCACACAACGCGTATTTGATTGAGAACTTCTGCTCTATGTCACAAAGCACAGGGTTCTCTGCAAGCTAATCTGACACCCTACGAAACCACCCGCTGGTCTGATTGGATGCTCAAGGCAAGCATGGAGCATTGGGCCTGCCCTAATGCGTGCGCTGATAGAGTGATATGATGTACTGGGTGAGATTTTTAGTATTAGACATCAATGTCATACTCTATATATATGTGCGTGCGATAGGCAAGCCCTGTTCGCTTGAATTTATCAGCCTAGCTTATCAATCATAGTATAATATTTTTCTCTCACAACAAAATAACTTCGGCCCACTTATCGGCCACAAAAACCCAAATAGCTCAGATGTTTTAGTTACCTACTCCGTACTGAATCAACCCTGCTATTTGAATTGTTATATTATATGCATGAGTGGCTGTGAAGCTCGTTCTGTAGTTGTAGCAGAATTATTCAATCATGTGATCACGACTCATGATTGATGAACCGTATTTCTACCTCTATCAAAAAGAATGCAACTACGTGTTGCACACCAGTTAGCGGTCCATATTTGACCAAGTTTCAAATGAATAGTATTGACATTTATGGCTACAAAATCAATTTATTATAAAAATGCATTTCATAATGAATCTAATGGTATTTATCTGATATTATAAATATTGATATTTTTTTATTTATAATTGGTCAAATTTAAGGTACTAAAATATGACACTGTGTTAGAATTATATTTTTTCTGGGACCGTAGGAGTACATCTGACAGGTTCCACTTTTCAGAAGGTCTTGTTTAGTTTCTCCGTAAATTGGCAAAAAGAAGATTTTCACATCACTCATACTAAATGTTGACGAAATCAAAAAAGCCTACAACAGAGAAAATTAGTCAATGTTCGTCGTCTAATGGACGATAGCGACCGAAAAGCGATGGCCAAGCCTAAATTGGTTTTCAGAAATTCAGAGAAAGAAGCCAACAATGCGTCTCTAGAGAAATTCAAACACTCTCGCATTCGTCCTCGCGGCGCCGAACTAATAAGGGTTCGTACGGTTCGCCGTCTGGTCTGGATTTTTTTAACTCTTTTTAAAACTAATTTAAAATCTAACATTGTTTTTTTTTTCAAAACTAACACTTTGGTCGCGCCTATTGCCATGGCGCGGCGGGTGGATGACGTGGCGACAACCGAAAATGCTGACCGATGACGTGGCAGGGCTTGCCGCGCCACAGATATTGGCGCGGCACCGCCGCGCCATCCCTGACGGCACGTCACTCCCGGTATATATATATATATATCGTCCACGAGCCACCTCCTCCCCGTATATATATATATATCGCCACGAGCCACCTCCCTCTGACGCACTTTGCGCTTTGCGCTGCCTGCCCGCGACCTGCCGCCCTTTGGCTCGCCTTGCCCGCTTGCTTGCGGCTGCCCTTCACGCCACTTCGCCCGCCCGCCTTAACTAATTATTTAGTTAGAAGTATGTTTAACATGTATATTTTTGTTGCTATAAGTGTTTGTTATATTATTTGAGTTGCAATGCAAATGATTATATTTTTTATTAATTTACGTTGTTTCCACTGATGTTTAATTTGAACCGTTTTATTAGATGAAAGACATGTTTCGGGAGCAGTTGTGGCGAAAACGGGGTCGTCCTATAGAATTGTACCCTGACGAGTGTAGCAAAGATGCCCCCGTCTCTCCTGGCCTTCCTGTCCCTAACTGTGACTGTGGTCGTCCGACCAACGTGTTTCAATCGAGACATCCGGACACAGCGGCTCGTTGCTTCTACACATGCAATCGTTTTAATGTAAGTAATTGTTTCCGTATATTTTTTTTTCTTCATTTGTATTACTAGGTTACTAATATTTTGTTGAAA